AAGGTGACTTTGAAATAAGATTGAAAGTATACAAGTAATCTCAAAATATACCTGCATCTATGTATGCTATTTCTTGAACAATATGAAGTATGTCTCTTTGTTTTGTCAGTCCTGGGGTTTGAACTCAGGGCTTGGGCACTGTCCCTGAGGTTCTTTTGCTCAAGGCTAGCACTCTACCACATGAGTGACAGTGACACTTCTGGCCTTTTCTGTGTATGTGCTACCAAGGAATTGAACCCAGGGCTTTATGCATGCTAGGCAGGCACTCTACCACTAAGCCACCTTCCCAGCCCCTGAGGTATGTCTTGATTCCATCTTATCCCAAAGCAGTTCCTCTTTTCTTTAACTAGAGTCCAGTCACCAGGCCAAAAAAGAAACTTTCAAGCAACACACTTTAATAGAAAAGACAGTTTTTCTCACACCCTATACCAGCATTGAGCCCACCACTGACCTCCCTGTGTATTAGGTTGGAGTCTTCATTATTGAGTTCAGAACAATTGAAATAAGGAGACTGGGTCTAACTGGAGCCACTTGGCCATGTAGTGGGTGGTAGGGAACTGGTAGAGGCAGGGAAGTTCCACCCCCAGGTGATGAGCATGTCTGAATTACTAGAGGTAGGGGTGAGGACTTGGATGATAGGTTACTGGACTTGTCAGTCCTGTGTCTTGAACTCAGTGAGACTCTCAAGTTTCCTGTGACCCCGCCCACACACACACCCTATTTAAGACCAGACCCGCTCAGGTGCCATTACACCATGCTTCATGTTTCTGGTTCTCCTTGAATCGCCATGGTGTCCCACTTCAGCTCCCCACTGAAGTGGATCAACTCCAACTCCAGTCGGGAGCTGATCCGGTTTGCTGGAATTGTTTTTCTGCTCTTTTTCTCCTCTTTTCCTCTCAGGGCTCAGTTTTCTAACAATGTTAAGTGTATTCAAGGTGGCTGCAGGTCTTTGTGACAAGAGTCCACCTGAAGTTGCCCACTTTCCAATAAAGACTCCCAATTTGATCTCTCAAAATATGGCTTCTCTGTTTTCTTGTGACTAAATTCCCACACAACACAATCACACAGCTGGGAGAGAAGATGGCTGATAACTTAGAACAATGAAGGAGGTGAATTTTAGAATACACATGATTCCAGAAGCAGACAAATATGAAATGCTGGAGAGAGCAGACAGAGACTTCTCACCCTGAAAAAGAATCCCTAGGCTAAAGCCAAGTCTCCTGTTTGTGGTTCCTCTCTTCAAGTCTTCCCCACCATCCCTAATAAGATGAATTTTTCTACTTCAACTGTTATAATGAAGAAAAATTCTTCCAATTAAAATATACTGGGTCTCAGCTTTATAAGGGAGAAGATGTGGAAGCAACCAAAGTATTTAAGAATAATGAACAGTTCCAATAATAGACCAATGGCAATTTCATATGTTCAATGAATCTTATTGGCTTAAGGTAATATTCATAATAAACTATTAATTATCATAGGAACCTATACATTTATATCTACAATACAAATTCCAGGATTAAACATTTGTGTATATTTATTTTAAAATAACTAAAATCATTGAGCCTTTACCACAATTCAACACTATACTATGTTTTACGTGCATAGTCTCACTCATTCCTCATAGAAACAAGATTAAACTGTTTCCAGTGGCTCATGCCTGTAATCCTAGCTACTCAGGAGACTGAGATCTGAGGATCACAGCTTGAAGCCATCCTGGGCAGGAAAGGCCATAAAACTCTTATCTCCAATTAAGTACCACAAAGGCCAGAAGTGTAGCTGTGGCTCAAGTGGTAGAGTGCTAGCCTTGGCCAAAAAGCTCAGAGACAGTGGCCATGTCTGAGTTCAAGCCCTAGGACAGCCACCAAAAAAAAATTTTTTTAAAGCACACACACACACACACACACACACACAGAAAAACCACCTAAGATTTGTATAATTATTACCTATAAAATGAGAGAAAAAGGAAGAGAGAGAGACATAGAGTAAATAAAATGGAAAAAAAAAAGCCAGGCAGTCTGGCTCATGTCTATAATTCTACCTACTCTCAATCCAACCAGGCCAAAAAAAATTAGTTAAAGAGACTCAACCTCAATCAATAAGATGCTGAACCTGGCGATGCACCTCTTATCCCATATAATGTATAAATGGGAGATCAGTCCAGGCTGCCCAAGACTGTACTTGAAAAACAAAAAGCATCAAGGACCAAGGATGTGGCTCAAATGGTAGAATGTTAAGTCCCTGAGTTTAAACCCTAGTACCATGAGAGAGAGAGAGAGAGAGAGAGAGAGAAAGAAAGAAACCAAAAAAAGTCAAAGCAATTATCACTGAATAGGATTATGTGAGGTATTAGTTTTCTTTTTAATATATTTTTCTTCATTTTTAAAATTTTCTAAAATGGGCACATGTTGACTTCATTCTTAGGAAACTTTAAAAGAAGCAACCCTTTTTAAGTTTATTGGCATTCATATCTTTTAAACCAATGAAAGCCTTTTCAAAAGCCAGTAGCCCCTCACACCCAAGGGAGAACTGATTTAATGAGAGTTTAACAACTGGTAGATAAGAAAGAGCCTGTACTAAAGCTGGAGAAGGGGAACAGAATTCAGGAAAAGTACTTTCAGATATGGATCAAACCCCATATATACATAAATGCATATTGTGAGCCCATCTGAGAGTCTAATAGTTTATTTTTCTATGGAAATTTTGTTTCAAGGTTTTACAAAACCAAATCATTGTCATCTCTAAACACAACCATAAACTAGGGTTGATCTGCTTTTGTGTGTGTGTGGTCCTGAGGCTTGAACTCAGGGCCTGGGCACCCAAGTCCCTGAGCCTCTTTTGCTCAAAGCTAGCACTCTACCACTTGAGCCACAGGGCCACTTGGGTTTTTTTCTGAGTAGTTTATTGGAGATAGGAGTCTCATAGACTTTACTACCCAGGCTGGCTTCTAACTGTAATCCTTAGATCTCAGTTTCCAGAGTAGTTAGGTTTACAGGCATTAATCTGTTTTTGTGTATTCGTTGCAACTGAGGAAGACACACCTTTATTTCAGAACAAAGGAAATGGATTGCAAAATCCATGTTTTCTTTGCTATGCCTCTGGACTGGCAGACTTATGTACCAGAAGCACATCTTATACTCACAAGATTAAAATACTGGAGTCATAAAATGAAGGAAGGCATCTATTTTAGTGTGTACTGATTCATCTCCCAGCCTGCCAGGTATAGCTGTCTGCCTGGATGAGTTTTATGAAGGTCTATAGAAGGGGGTGGGGTGGGAGAGCAATCAGGAAATGTGATGGCTGTTGTCACTGACTTAGGCCATTTGCTTCATTTTCAGATGCTATTCAAAGGTATTCAGCTTCCCAAGGGAACAGTGATTAGAACCTCCTTCAAACCTCCTTAAGAACATTCCTCAGAAATTAAATTCTCATTGTTTTAAAGCTGGGTTCCAAAGCTGGCTTGACCTATAATCTTAGCTACTCAGGAAGCTGAGATCTGAGGACTGCAATTCAAAGCCAGCCTTGGCAGGAAAGGCTTTGAGACACTTTATCGTCTATTAACCAGTCAAAAGTCAAAAGTAGCGCTGTGGCTCAAGTGGTGGAGCATCATCTTTGAATGAAAGAGATAAGGGACAGTGCCCAAGTCCAGAGTTCATGCCCAGGTTGGGGGTGGGGGGGAAGACAGACAAACAGAGACAGAGACAGACAGAGTGACAGAGAATCACAAGACTTTCCTCACTCAGAGATACCATCTCTTTACAAAACATGCTTGCCAAGAATCCCTTCAGACAGCCTTAATGGAGCAATTTCCATTTCACTTATTCCCATTCATTTAGATGTATCTTAAAGACACATTCATTCATGTGGCTGTCACATTCTGATTTTAATAACCCCTTCCTAATATCTAACCAGGAAGATATTTCAAGACAGAGGATCTGGCCTGTAATCCAATCTTCTTCTTAGCCACCATCCCACTGAACCTATGGGAATTGTTTTCTACCAGGAAATGACTTGGATTTGGTTTCCCTCTCCTCCACTAATCAGCTTCCCCTATAGGAATGGTTGGGAGGGAGAGCGGGGAGGCAAGGAGGAAAGAGATGTCATCTTGGACCCAGAAGAAGAAGCTGGTTAAGCCAGATCCTCAGAACTTCAGTGGGATATTCATTTCATATGCATGTCGCTGAGTGGGTGTGCCCATTCAACCATGAGCCCTGCACAACAAGTGGTTCAGTAAACTGGGATGTGCTGACAGCTTTCAGAAGACCTGCTCAGAAACTTATATATCCCTGGACTTTGCTCCTTGTCTTAGTTGTGGTCGTGTGTGTGTGTGTGTGTGTGTGTTCAAAGCACACCATTTTACTCCTTAGCACAGCCCTTAGCAACTTCATGATTTCAAAACTGTTGCACAAAAAAAGAAAGTCATTGTGAATCTATTTACTTCACCGAGCATTTGCAAATCTTTTTTTTTTTAATCCTAAATTCCTCCTGGGAAAGTTCCTCTGTAAATGCATCTCTGAAAATGCACTCTGCCTTTTTAACGAGGGATTTCCTTTTTCTTTCTTTTTTTTCAAATTAAAGCGGGACTCCAGTGAAGGTTCCAAGTCTCCAGCTACTTCGCTTTGGGGGGAAAAATATCCAGAAACCAATCACCCACGTCGGTCCTGAGATGGCCGGAAAACCTCAAGCCCAGAGAGCATCCTCGGATGCTACCGGCACCCCCTCCCCCAGGGCGCGCCCCGCACGCACGCGGGCTCCCCGGGAGCGCGCGGACTGCCACCGCTGCGGTCACCACCCGGACGGAGCCTGGTGACATCACCCGGCCCCCAGGACTCGGCCGAGCAGCCGGAGGCCAGCGAGGCATCCAGGCGACAAAGCAAAGCCCAGATTCCTGGGGCGCCCGGGCCGGGGATGGCAGCCGGGTCCCCGGGGGCTGAGCACAGCCCGGGGTCCCCGCACCCACCCAGCGCCGCTCAGGTACCGCGCGCACAGAAGCAGCCCCTCACCTTCGCCTCCATCCAGGAGTCCCGATCCTGACTCTGGGCTGCCGCGGCTGGGGCGGCTGCCAGGAGCAGCCGCAGCAGCAGCAGCAGCAGCAGGTGGACGGTGCCCACGACGCGCCGGTCCCCGCCGCCTGCCATCTCCGCCAGGTCCTGCGGGCGCCGGTTCCCGGGGCCGGCGGCGGTCACGAGCCCGGGAACGCGCGCCTGTCGCCGGCTCCCTTCTCCACCCTTGGGTGGACTGCGCCCGCCTCCCCCTCGCCGCCAGCGGCCGGCGGGGCACAGGCCGCAGCCGCCACCCCCTCCCCTCCTCTCACACGTCTCAGCAGCCCCGGAAGGTGGGACTGTGCTGCCCAGGGTGACTCAAGCTTCCCAGACAACAAAGACGGTCACTTCCTTGTCTTGGAGAGGAAGGAAGGAAGGAAGGAAGGAAGGAAGGAAGGAAGGAAGGAAGGAAGATCATTTTCACAATGATCTCCAGGGCCATGACAGGGAGTTGGGAACGGGATGGGGAGGTTCATCAGACTCCAGGGTTGGGAGGGTGGGGGTGGGGTGGTTATGCAGTGTTTTCCCAAAGCGATTTAAAAAAAGATGGTCCCAGAGTCAATTTTGCTGAAATACTCTGCACCAAGCTCTGACCTAGTGATGCCCCCCCTTGTTTAGTCTACTAATCCCATTTGCCAGATGAGGAAACAGCTCCCCTAGAGAAAGCCTGGACTACACAGCCCACTGTTCCCTCTGTTCACAGTGCATGCTTTCATTTTTTTCCTCTTTTCTCACAACTAGTTGGTCTTGGTTTCTAAGAGACTCTCAGATTGAGAAATATGGTTGAAGTTGTTAATCTGAAATAAATGAGATCTAAAATATCGCAGTGATTCTCTAATGCATGCCTCCAAAAGGAAAAGCAAAAACAAACATCCAGTTGGTCCTTTATGTCCATGGATTCTGTATCTCTGGAAGTCAACCAACCACACTTGGAAAATATGCAGAATAAAAAATGGGGTATGGTGGCTCACCCTTGTCATCCTACTACTAGTGGAGGTGGCTAAATTAAGAGAATCAAAGTCCAAGCAGACCAGGCAAAAGGAAAGTCCTTCTGTAAAAAAAAAAAAAAAAAAAAAAGGCAGGAGTGCGGCTCAGAGGGGCTGCATAGCTCATGTGAAACCCTGAGTTCAAAAACCCAGTACCACCAAAGAAAGAAAAAAGCTGAATCTGTACTGAACATACCCAGACTTTTGTCAAAAATCCTTCAACAATAGTATGTAACAACTACTTGCACAGTATTTGTATCACATTAGATATTATAACTAATTCATAGATTATTTAAAGTGTATGGGAGGATGTATATAAGTCATTTGGAGATGTTACGTCATTTTATGCTAAGGGAGTTGGGCATCCATGAGTTTTGGTATGGAGAAGATGACGTGGAACCAATCCTCTACAAATACTGAGTGTACTTGTTACAACACAGTTAGTGTTATGCAGATAGCCTATTTTTAAAAAACAGAGCTGTGGATGTTGTTCAGTGATAGAGTATTTGCCTAGCATATACAAGGCCTGGGGCTCTAGTCCTAGAACCACAAAAATAGAAAAGCAATTTATCTGTAGGTGTCTGACCTGACAAATACTTCATCATCTTCTTTTACGTTCCTTGATCTGTCCTGAGTCATCTCCTAGTAATAGAGTTCCCAGGAAAGTCACAACAAGGACAGTGAAACAGAACCATTTCCTAAGGATCAAATTTGAAGGTAATGGATAGAATCTGCCAGAAAGCCTACCCACTCTTACAGTCCTAGCTACAAGCCTAGCAACTTATTAAGAGTCAGGGCTGGCCTAGGGACTCACTGTTCTGCCCCCCTCTGGAGCCACAAGGAAAGACAAGATGGAAGTTTCTCTTGTGCTTCTGTTTAAAATTGCTTGCTCTCCTGTCTGACAATTATTGAATAACAACTAAACTATCCAGGGTTAAATGTTAAATAGCTTATTTTATTACTCCAGATACTATTCTGATAATCTTGCCAGTTCAAAAATTTCTATTGATTCAATAGACAGAAAGAAAAAAGAACAGCTCTCACGTGACCCTATGTATCTCTTTTCTTCCTGCTGAGCCAGCCTTGAAATGCTGAGGCTCCTGGGTGGCTAAGTAATAAAGAATGTTTTCTTACCCTGTTATCTTTTTGTATTTTCACAATAGGACTCCTGTAAGAAAAGAGAGTGAAAAAAAAAACTAAATAGGTGAGCTATATTATCATGTTAAGTATGAGCAATTTAAAATAACAAATATAGGAATGCGTAAGGTAACATGCTAACACATAATGGTTTTCATCCCCTAAAGGTCTCCATTTTCAGTTATATTTCAGTCAGAAAAATGCTGTTGCAGTTTGACATGGACAGGAAGCAGACTCAGACAGTTTAGCAAGCAGGATGTGTATTAGGGAGTGCCCTTGGGACTAGGCCCTGTGGGAAGAAGAAACCGGACCTGGCTGAGGGAGAAGTTAGCTGAGAAGTGGGATCCACAGCCTCACAAAGCCCCGTAGGGAGCCTTGGAGCTGAAATAGCTGTCATAGTTATCCTATGATTGTCCAGAATTACTGGGCCTTTATCCCTTCTCCCCTTCACTCCCTCCCCCCACCTTGATGCAAGGACTTCCTACAAATGGCCTGTACTCCAACAGTTCTTTCCTGAAGGGAGATCTGACCAGCATATCTCTGTCTGTACCTATCATACAGGACAAATCTCATTCAAACCCAAAACACTTCACATAGTGAAGCTTATTTAAATCCATTTTTTATTTTTTAATTCCATATGGGATTTTGTAACAACTTCTATAAATCTACAAGTCTAGGACAATACAAGTATCCTTATCTTCCTTACTCACATTTTCCTGATCCGTTAAATATCCATCTTCTACTTTCTTTCCCTCAAGTCTTCCTATGGAAGATTACTAATAACTTTCGCATTTTAATTCAAGTTCCAGACTTAATTTTAATCATAGAGCAAGAAGGCAGTTGTATATGCAATAATAATATGGATCACAAAAGTGTGGGTATGACACCCATGACACTTCAGTATAGTATGAATTCAATACAGTAGTATAAAAGGCATGATGGACCAACCTACCAAAATAAAAAGTCATTCCCCATCAAGCTCCCATGACTTGAAGCACACTTCCATCTTGAAAATGACATTGTAACTCTAAAGCAAGAATGACCCAAAGGTGCTATTAAACAAGCAGTTCTCAAAGTGTGGGCCGTGGAACCTCTGGGGATTTCCTGATGCCCTTGAGGATGTCTCCAAAATCAAATTAATTTTTATAATAAATCAAAACAAGCCAAGTGCCATTGGCTCACGCCTGTAATCCTAGCTCCTCATGAAACTGAGGTTTAAAGCCAGTCTGGGCAGAAAAACAGAAAAGACTCCATCTTCAAAATGGTCAACAAAAAGCTGGGCTGGAGGTATGCCGCAAATGGTAGAGAGGTAGCTGAATAAACAAGCTGAAGGAGTATCAAGGCCCTGAGTTCAAATTCCAGTATCACCAAAACAAAACCAAATTCAAAGTAAGCTGGGCCTTGGTGGCTCCTGCCTGTAATACTAGCTTACTCAGGAGGCTAAGATCTAAGGATCATGGTTCAAAGCCAGACCAGGCAGGAAAGTCCAATTAACCACCAAAAAACTGGATGTGGCACTGTGACTCAAAATGGTGGAGTGCTAGTCTTGAGCAAAAAAGCCCAAGGACAGTGCCCAGGCCTTGAGTTCAAGACCCATGAGCAATAACCCCCCCCAAAAATGATACATAATATATATATATATATATATATATATATATATATATATATGTCTTGTTTTCTGGCCATATTGACATTTCACTAATGCTGCAGAAGCAATGAGGGATAACAACACTCTGGTTTTGTTTTTTGTTGTTGTTGTTTTGTATATGTGTGTGAGAGAGAAAGAGAGAGTCAGGGACACTTGTGGCTATGTATTCTTCATGCACTGAAGAAAAAGAAAATAAAAACAGCCAATTCCACTTAAGAATTAGTTGATACAGTAATGAAAATATTTTTATAAATTCTCAGACCCTGAGGCAGATATTTGTAATAGCTTCATTGAGCTATAATCCATATACATTTAATGATGCATATTTAAGTACATGACACGATGAATTTAAACACACATAAATACTTATGAAGCCACAATAAAAAAAATGAATATATTTGCAACCTCCAATGTTTTTTTCCTTTGTAAGCTTTCCTTCTAGCTTCCAGTTTTCTTTTAGTTTCTTCTTTTACCCATTCATTATTTATATTATATTATTTATTTTTCAGACAATTGAGGATTTCCCTAACTTTTTGTTACTGGTTTCAAATTTAATTCTGTAATGGTCAGGCCTTGCAAAGATGAGCCTTTATCCATTTTTTTTGAGAATTATCTTATTCTCAAAATATAATTCATCTTGGTATATGTTCCCTGTGCATGTGGAAAGCAAGTATATTCTATTGTTATTAGGTGAAGTGCTCTGTGTCAAATAGGTCAAGGTGGCAAATAGTGTTGTCTGGATCTTCCATTTAAAAAAATTGATCTTCTGACTATTCATTCTATTGATTACAAAGGTAGTATTGGAATCTCTAATTATTTTTTTTTTTGGGTCCGGTCATGTGGCCTGGACTCTGGGCCTGGGTGCTGTCCCTCAGCTCTTCAGCTCAAGGCTAGCACTCTACCACTTGAGCCACAGCACCACTTCCGGCTTTTTTCTTTTTGCTTATGTGGTGCTGAGGAATCGAACCCAGGGTCTCATGCATGCAAGGCAAGCGCTCTACCACTGAGCCACCTTCCCAGCCCCTGGAATCTCTAATTATAATCATAAAAAAACTTTTATTTCAATCAATTTTCATATTATCTCTAAGCTTTCTTAATAAGTGTATAAATGTTTAAGACTGCAATGTAAAAAAGAACCCAACTTAAGAGATCAGAGCACATGTGCTTTGAAAAATCATTGATCCCTTTGCAATTATAAAACAGTTCTATTTGTACTTGGTTGTATTCTTGTTTTGAAGCATAATTTCCTCTAACATTTTGACTTTCTTCTCACACTAATGTAATTAATTAAAACTCCAACTTTTTTGTTGTTGGTACTAGGCTTTGAACTCAGGGACTTGTGCTGACTAGGCAGGCACTTGCTAGGCAAGTGCTCTACCACTTGAGCCACACTGACAGCACTTTTTTGCACTTGTTAATTTCAAAATAGGGTCTTGTTTTATGTCTGAGCCAGCCTGAACTGCAATTCTCCTTTTGGTGCTTCCCTGAGTCACCAAGATGACAGCAGCATGCCATGGTACCCAGCCATTAGTCAAGATGTATCTCAAGAACTGCTTTTATCTAGACTAAATCAATCCCCTTTCTTTGCCTCCCAAATAACTAGGACTACATATTTGAGCTGTTGTGACCAGCTTCTTTAAATATTTACTCTCCTCATTGTCCCTCCCTTCATACATGCATTCTTTTGAGGACTCCAAATGCGTGCATATTAAGGTGTTTGCAGTTTTCCTGTAGGGCACTGGTCTCTGTTTACTTTTTATTTTTTATTTGTCTCTTTCATTTATATGTTATTTCTAGGTCTTTAAGTTTACCTTTTTTTTTTGCAGAACCTAACCTTTTTTAATTTTTAAATTCTTTCTTTGTGGTAAAGGTGATGTACAGAGGGGCTACAGTTACATAAGTAAGGAAATGAGCAGAACCTAATCTTTTATTAGCCACAATTCTTTCCCTCACAGATATGGTTTTACATGTTTTATTTAGATCTTATTTATATAGTTTGTTTTTCCCTGCATATCTATGTTTCCAACAACTGTTTTTCCTTGTCTTCTCATTTATCATCTTTGCCATTTCTTTGTCTTTTTCTTTTTTAAATTACTTTTTGTTATTAGAAAGGTGATACACAGAGGGATTACAGTTACATAAGTCAGATAATGAGTACATTTCTTTTGGATGAGGTCGCCCCTTCCTTTGCTCTCTCTCTGTTTTTCCTTCCCATTTCCACCCACAAGTTGTATAGTTCACTTTAGTGTGCAGAGAGTACCGTTGCTGCATTGTTCACCCTTTGTCCTTCTAATTCTCCACTTCCCCTTACACTCCCAAAGACATAAACAAACAAACCAAAAAATAAAGGAAAAAAACAGCAAAAAAGACAAAAAAGAAAACCTTCTGTTTTCATTTCCTGGAGTTCATGTCAGTCATCTTTTCAAATTAACAAACTGTAATTGTTTTCCCAATGACACATTTTTATCATACACATCCATCTTATGCTGTAACCAACAGAAGCAGTATACATGAAATCAGAGAAAATAAATTAAAAATCCATAGGATGGGTAAGGAGGCTGTAGTCTGGAGCACAGTTGTGTTCCCAGCAATATAAGGAGGCTCCAGTGTTTCTTTGTAAGAATACCTGCTAGAAAGGTTCAAGTAAGGTGGTTGGTTGGTCTGTAGTCAGTCTTGAAACCGTTCTGTTTTGTTTAGAATAGTCATCATTGTCCCGCAATAGGCAGAGCTATCATGTCGGAGAAAAATGAGGCGGGGCAGGGGGGCGGGGGGGAACCACAGAGGCATCATGAGCTCCAAATATAGCATTCAAAGGTAATTGGCCTACTGGTGCCTGGGGAAGGAGGGAAGGGGT